ATGGGGACGGGACAGACCCACCTGGCCGGGGCTGAGACTGGCCAGGCCCGAGGGCCCTGAGAACTGCCTGGGCTGGGTCCAGACGCTCAATACATCTCCTGTGTGACGCTGGCAGAGTCCCTGCAGCTAGAGATCGGGGGGCGTTGCTCCCTCTGGGGGTGGGGGCTTCGGGGGCCAGAGCGAGGGGACTCCCCGAGGGGCCCACGGCAGAGCCAGGCTGCTGGGGGCTCAGGGGGACGGTCCCAGGGGGCGGGGGCCCTGCGGCGCAGAGGAGCCGGGGGGCAGAGCCAGGCTGCTGGGGGCTCAGGGGGGCGGTCCCAGGGGGCGGGGCCCTGCGGCGCAGAGGAGCCGGGGGGGCAGAGCCAGGGGGTCACTCACGTTGCTGTGGGGCGCGGGGCTCTGGCAGGCATCCAGGCACCAGGAGCACTCGGGGTCCTTCCCACAGGTGCTGCTCTCTGAGTACATGGAGCAGTAATCCAGGTGATACTGGGGGGGGAGGGGGACAGGGCAGTGAAGGAGGGGCTGCCCCCCAACAGCCCCCCAACCTGCAGCAAGGGATCCCCCTCCCCCGCCCCAGCCACAAACCCGACCCCTCTTCCCCCACCAGCCAGAGACAACCCCCCCAGCTCCACACCCGAGAGCCCGCTGGCTGTCTCCCCACGTCGAGGCAGCAATCACCCAGGTGGGGGGACGAGGGGGAGTTAATGGGCCCCAGGCAGCTCCCCTGCAAGCCAGAGCCTCCTTGTCCCCCCAGCCAGAACCCCGCAAGCCAGATCCCCTCCACGGGCCGGAAAAGGGGGGGGTCACTGATCTGCTCCTGTGAGCTCCCAGAGCGCGGAGGGGAAGCCGGGGGTACTGGGGGGCAGCAGGGGGTGGGGGGCCAGGCAGAGGTTAGGGTCCCTGTGGCGGAGGGGGCGCTGGGGGGAGTGGCAGGGCCCCGGGGGTCACTTACGTTCTGGGCGGGCACCTGGAAGACGAAGGTGGGCACCTTGTAGGCCACGAGGTCCCCGCGGGGGGCCCCGCTGAACCCCCCGGCCACCAGCAGCACGTTGTCCTGCAGCACGGCCGCCACATGGGAATAGCGCCCCCCGGCCGCCCGCCCGGCCCGCTCTGCCAAGAGGAGAGCATCAGGTAGCGCCGTGACCCACTGGCCCCCCGGCCACCGGGCGTCCACCCAACCCCTCCATCCGCCAGGGTGCCCCCCCACCTGCCAGCCACTGGGGAGTTGCCCATGCCCCTTCCTCCATCTCTTGGGGCATCCCCTCACCCTCGCCCCGCCCCTGTCCACCAGGGCTCCCCCCCACGACCGCCCCTCCCCATCCTCACCCCTGCTCCCCCATCTCCTGGGGCATCCCCCCTCCCCCCACACCTGCCCCTCTTGCTCCCTAGGGTACCCGAGCCCCTCACCATGGGGCAGGCTTCGTGCCAGCGCCTGGCCGGGCACCCACTGGTGGCAGCCAAGGTGGTAGAAGAAAAGTTCGTCCTCGTAGCACTTCTCCTCATGGTAGTGAATGTGCACGTTACCCCCTGTGGGCGAGAGGGGTCAGACTGGGGGGCAGCACAGCTGAGGGGGGACGGGGGGGTCAGACCCGGGGGGGGGTGACGTTATGAGTGTAATATAACAGCTCATTGAAGGTGACAGGGCCAGAAAGAGTTAATTAACTCACAGACTGACCTGACCCAGGGCCAAACTTTAGAGACTGGTTAGGAAGTTCTGTAATGAAGAGAACTGGGAAATGCAAGTCTGCATTGTTAGCGGTAGAAGGGAGATGTTTGCTCAGGGCTTGTGATGTCAGCAAACAAGTCTTGTCTATTGCTACAGCGTTGATTCAAAGATCAAAAAGGGAATATTAACAGTTAGGGAGACACTTGAGGTCTCTATGTCTCTTTGAAGGTTGTGGTGACCTGTGTCTGAACTGTTCAATGGATAAATTACCCTGTGCTAATTGCCAGGATGTTTGGAAGGAGAGTTAGGCCTATTGTTTTCTCAGGCCGAAAGGCTGCTGGAAATGTACAAGAACCCTGGGCCACGATCCTGCTTCATCTCAGATCTGCTTTGGGTTTCAAGAGGGGGAAACCTTAAGCCACAAGGATTGAGATCCCCAGTCACTGACTGGAGCCGCCCTGAATATGGACATGGGACTATAACCTCTGGACTATTTCTAAAAGGACTTTTGGCAACTACACGCTCATCTCTGCTGTGTCTGAACCTCAAGCATTGAATTCAAGTCTGTCTGTAGATTGATCTTTTAACCAACACTCTCTCTCTTTTCTTTTTTAATTAGTATTAGTTTAGTTAATAAGAATTGGCTATAGCAAGTATTGTGGACCAGATCTAAGTTGTAATTGGACCTGGGTGTGTGGCTGATCCTTTGGGGTTGGAAGAACCTTTTCTTTTATATGATGAGATCAGATTGTCAGTAATCATCATCACATCTGACAGGTGTGTCTGGACGGAGGCCGGACGCTGGGCACTTTAAGGGAACTGCGTTGGTTGGACTCTGAGTAACCAGGGAGGTACTATAGAAGCTGTTTTGGGCTGGTTGGTAAATCTAAGTATTGGAATATCCACCAGCGTTTGGGGTTTCTCTGCCCCATTTTGTTTGCAGTTCACCCTGATTGAGTGACCTCAGCTGGCTCCAACGGGCAGCGCCGTCACAGTGGGTTAATTCTCACTCACCACAGACCCCACACGGGAGGCTGATGATGAAGGAGGGAACAGGATGGGGGCGTGGGAGGTTCTGGGGGGGTGAGCACATAGGCGCCAATGATGGACAAGGATAAGGGGGTGTCACTCAGCGTACACTGCCACCTGGGCCCAGTGACATGGGGGGCCTTAAGGGGGGGCCAGTAGGGGCTCCCCAGCCCCTGTGGGGGCAGCCACCAAAGGAGAGTCCCTGTAGGGGTGGGGGGTGGAAGGTCAGAGAGAGGGTCCCCAGAGTGGTCGGGAGGTCCTGGCGGGGGGGAGCCAGGGGGGGTCCCGGCCAGGGGGGTCTGAGACGGATCAGGGAGGTCAGAGGGGGGTCCCGGCGGGGCGCGGTCGCTCACCATACACCACCATGTAGTTGCCCAGCAGACTGGCGCTGTGGAAGGCGCGCTCCCGGGGGCCGTGCTGGGGGTCGCGCCCGCGCAAGGGGCTCCAATGGCGCAGGTCCACATGGAACAGGTCCGTACTGTTCACCCGCATGCTGAACCTGGGGGGGGGACGAGTCAGCCGGGGAGCGTGACCCCCAGCCCCCCACTGTGCCCCCCCAGCGCTCAGCCACACCCCTGCCTCTCCCTGGGCCCCTCAGCCACACACCCCAGTATTTCCTTGGGTCCTCCAGCCTCTCCCTGACCCCCCAGCCACGCCCCCCACCTCTCCCTGGGCCCCTCAGCCATGCCCCCCAGCCTTTCCTTGGGCCCTCCAGCCTCTCCCTCGGCCCCCTCAGCCATGCCCCCCACCTCTCCCTGGGCC